TCAAATCAACACTTCAAATTAAATCATCGGTTAAGGCGAGAGTTACAGTGCTGATTTAAAAAAATAAGCATTGAGCTTAATCGAAGGTTATTATGTACTATATTAAAAAAAATTTAAAAAAAAAAGGGAAAAAAAGAAAATGATTCATTTTTTCGTTAAACTAATAGCAATAAATGATATGATACGGTGATGAAAAAGAAATAAAAACAAAGGGTTGGTTGATTAGTGGTTTTTGTTTTTTTGAAGATTTGTCAAGATTTTCACTATTTATCAAAAAAAAATATATTAAATCAAATATTTATTTTTTATTTTTTATATTATATTAAAATCAATTTTATATTCAAAATATCACATTATACAACTATTTCAATTGAAAATTTTTTATATTCAAATAACAACTCAAAATCCAAACTCACGAACAAAAACGCCTCTATTGATTTATTTTTCATTTTCATTTTGCTGGCATATAAAAACTTTGGTAGTAGGCCCATGGAAATTTCTAATGGATTGAACAAGATGAAATTGGGCTAAAGTTTTTAAGAAGAAGATGGAGTTGTTTTTCTTTCATTTTTCATAATCTTTTTTCTTCTCATTTTGCATTAGGATTAGAAGCTAGAATTCTTGCAAGGGTGTGTATGTTTGGTGTTCAGATTTAAATAATAAAAAATTTGAATTAAAATAGTGGTATGATGTGATATGTGCGGATATTGATATAATATTTTGAATAAAAAATTAATTTATAATATAATATAAAAAAAATAAAAAATAAAAATATGATTTGATATTTTTCTAGAGAAACTTTTTAATGAATAATAGAAATTTGATGAAATGTGATAAAATAATACACTTTTGTGCCTTGTGTTTTTCCTTCAATTGATTTATATTATTTTTAATAAAAAATAATTGCATACTACCAAAATCTCGCATTGAGTTGCCTAAAAATCCACCATTTTTCTCAAATGATATTTAAGGTCAGAATCAATTTTTTTTTTTTCTCTCTTTATTTTTCTTATTGAAATATATAGTGAATATAACTAAGTGACGAGTATAGACATATAGTATTAGGGATGGCAATGGTTGGGTTCAGCTGGACTCGAGATCCAACCGAATACACATGGTTAGACCCGAGACCCAAATTGAACCTGACTATACCGATCGGACCCGAACAATACCCATTGGACCCGACAGAGCCGAAAAAAATTATAATTCTTAAATTTTAATTTAGAATTGGACCGGAACTCTGATCCGAAGTCGACATATATTAAAATTTATATATTTTATTAAAAAATATTATAATAAAATAATAAAACATTAATAAATTAAACTACAAATATATTTTTAATATAATTTATATTATATAAAATTATTTTTTCATATATATAATTGATATATTATTAATATATTAAGAGTTACGAGCACACAATATCCGATCTAGACCCAATTTGATACCCGATAATTAGATCCGATCCCAAATAAATGGGTCGGATTCGAGTCAGTCTCAAGTTTACCTGAACTTATTGTCATTCCTATTTAGTATGTCATTTTCTAACAATAACATGATTAAAAGCTAGTATTAATTATGATCATCTCTTTACAGTATGTCGTTTTTTCATGTGAAATATAAGAAAATGTATAGATAATAAAAAAATAATGAATATGAGTGATATATTAATATAATTTTAAAAAACATGTATATATTTTTTATTGAAAGAACACGAAGATTTCTAACATATTATTATATTCATCACTAGCAACTCTCGATGTTCCTGAGAATTTATAACCATAGATCTTAAGGATTAATTAATAAAATATTATGCAAAAATAAGTTTGTTTGTCCATATTTTTTTAACACGGTTTTCAATATATATATATATATTATCTTTTTACAAAAGTTAATATTTCCCTTCGTCCTATAACTATGTATCCGTTTATTTTTTGCACGGAATTTTTAGAAATATTAGTATTATATTGAGATGTAGCAGGAATAAAGTAGAAATGACTAAAATAATCTTATTAGTATTGTGTGATATAAAGATAATGACATTTGTCTAATATATTGTAAGTTGTAAGAGTATTTGTAATATTAGGTAGATAGTACAGTTACTAAAAAAGAAAATAAATATTTTGTTATAGAACAGACTAAAATGAAATAATTGATACTTTGTTATGGGAGGAAGAGGAGTATTATTTATATATTACAAAGTTAAAAACAAATTTTTCACCGTTGAATTAAAAGAGTAACGAGTCATGACTAATTCTTGAAAATTTCAACTTCATTCGACTGTTAGCGAAGTATAAATTTTCAAGTTTTCTTTTAAATTATGCAATCTTGGACGAAAATGTCTATTTTTTCTTTATTATTATTATTATTATTATTATTTCTATATTTGTGGACGGATTTGGCCTAACATATGACCCTAACACTAAGATTAATTAAAGTGAGTTTTTTACTAATGTTGGGCTTGATGACACTTGTGGGAGTAAATAATTTGTTAAGAAAAAATATTTAGAGTTATGAGATAATTAGCTTCGTGAGAAAAAATTAGAGTAGACAATATTGGGTATATGCGAAGCTAATTGAGCAATCTTACGAAGAAACGTGCGTGCTCTTAAATTTTTTTTTTTTTTATATCTTTTAAAATAATTTTTGATACATCTCTATTGTAAGTTTTATTTGTTCTTCATGAAGAGTTATAATGTCTGGATTGAAACCCTCAAATATTGGTTGATGCAGCCGAATTGAGTTAATATTTGCTTGTGTTTTCTATTTTTGGTATTTTCATTGTATATATATAGTTTGATCGTATAGCAAACAATCTGTCTATAGGATTTAATCGAATTTGAGACCAACAACCCTTACTCATAACATGCAAGAGTATTTGAATATACTTACAATATGTAAAAATAAATACCAATTTCCAATAACAGTGATTACAATTATTAATATAAAAAAATAGGTGTTAAATTTTTTCAAATCAAATGAGAAATGTCACATGTAGGATATATTGTTCTATAGTACTTCATAGAGCTGTTAACGATCCGACCCGAGCCAAACTGAACAAAATTTTAAGTGTTCGTTAACGTTCGCGAACAAGGCTCGTGTTCGTTCGTTAAGCTTTCGAGTTCGTTGGTAGTGTTCGAGCGCGGCTCGTTAAGAATTTTTATTGTTTGAGCTCGTGTTCGTGTTCGGCTCGATTAAGCTCATTCAAGTTCATTCGAATTCGTTTGTCTTATTTTTTTAAATTTATATATAAATTATAAAGATTATTTTATTTATATATTTTAAATTAATATTTTATTTATTTATAAATTATAATTTTATAGATATATATAATATTTATAATAAATATATTATTTAAACGAACGTTCGCGAACAAAGTTCGGGCTCGTTCGTTAACCAAACGAGCTTGTTTATGTTGTTCGGCTCGGCTCGTTAACGTTTGCGAACGAGCTTTAACCGAGTTGAATCGAGCCGAACCGAGCCGAGTTCGTGAACTCGGCTCGGTTCGTTTAACAGCTCTAGTACTCCATCCGTATAAAAAAAAAAAAAAATCTCATTTTTTTAATTTTTATTTGTTCTAAAACAATAATTTTATTTTTAAAAATAATCATATCATCTCAAAAAAAAAAAGAAATTTCATTATTATTATACAAATATTATTATTTTTTATACAAATATACTCGTAGTAATATTTTAATGTTTTTATGACTTACTTTCAATATAATGTTATTATTTTTTAATCTTGTGTTACATTTCAATTGGGTTATTGTTTCGAGAGTGAAAATGTATGTTTATTATCATTGATACAAAACAAGAAATTATAATCTCTTAGAATTTGATTCAATTTATTAGTATTATATAATCATTGTAATTAGTATAAAAAAAATTATTTATTATTAAAAAAACATCATATCTAAATCATTGTTTAACTTTTTATATATATATATATATATATTTTTTAAAAAAACCCTTCGTGCATTACATAAAATGAAACCATGCAATCTTGATTGATCATATTGATTAAAGATATCTTGATTTCTCATTTTCTAAGGCTTGGTTTGTTTATATTTTTATTTTGAATTTAAATTTAAACAGTGGTTGATTGCAATTTTTGTAATAAAAATTATTATATTCTATGTTCAATATAAAATGATTAGTATTTTTATTTCGGTTAGTTTACATAATTTATTTATTTTTTAAAATTAATTATCCATTTGAATCGTATTTTAAATTTATAATAATATATATATTTAAAATTTTAATTAAATTATTTGATTACCTTAATATTACTTTATAATTATTTAATTATAAAATAATTATTTAGATTAATATATTTTTTAATTATTTATTAACTATGTGTTTCTTTATTCAAAAGTATCAGTTTTTTACTATTTAGTTTTTGCCTATCTATATTTTTTTTTCTTTCACAAACATCCTATGAAATATTATTTTAATATCAAATCAAACCAAATTCCTTATTAATTTGAAATTGGCTGTTCGATTTGAGATTTTATTTAAATAATATTTTGATCATAATATTTTATATAAAAAATATATTTTTATCGAAAACTGTATCAAGTAAATAATATTAATTTTAATTTAAAATAATAAAAAAGCTAACCTTATAATTTTTTTTTAAAAAATTATCATATTTCTCAACACTTTATTTTGGACTTTGAAATATATTTTTATAAAAAAATATAAGAATTTTATAGTAAAGATATTTTAAAAAAATAAAAATTTCAAAATGAATAAAATTTCAAATTCCATTTATTTCTCTAACGGTGGATGTCATACCATCAAATTTGCTATTTGATTTGGATATAGTTCTAAAAGATTGAAGAGCTTTGATCAGACTTTCGAAAAGTTTCGAAATTTTAAAACTTTTAAAATAATAAAAAATTAATAATTGATAAAAAATTTGTAAAATAAATATATATGTGTGTGTATATATATATATATATATATATATATTTTTTTTAGAGTAGATTATAAAACAGCCAATTTTAATAAAACGTCGCTGCTGATAGAGTATATACCCAGGCAGGGTGGTTTCCTTTGTTCTCTCTACCGGACGGTGACACATGGCGGCGGCGCTGTTGGGTGACGACGGCCGGGGCTACGACCTCGCGCGGAAGTTGGAGGCCCATGGAGTCTGGCGCTCCTGGCTCGGCGATACGCTTTACCAAAGCTTCATTTCCTTCCTCTCCTCTCCCTCCAACTGGGAATCCTTCATGCGAACCGATGACTCCAAAACTAAGCCTCAGATCCATCTCCAACTCCGCGTGCGCGCACTCCTCTTCGACAAGGCCTCCGTGTCTCTCTTCCTCCAATCTCCTGCCCCAGTGGCAATCTCTAATCTAAACCCTAATTGTGAGTGTTGGTTTCTTTCTTTTTGCTCCCACCCTTACCCTGATTTAATTTCAGTTTGAAATTGAAATTGAATGAAAAGGGAATTGCACGCCGCGGTTTTGAATAAACGAAGAAACTGAAATTTTTTGTGGATTATGGGGTTATTTGTGATTTCAGAATCTCGGGTTCTTGGAAGTGGAACGAATTGAGCGTTCTTCTGTATTTTCCTTTTTCTTGGGGTGGACTACATTAGAATCGTTTCAAGTTATATGTATTTAGGGTTTTTTATTTTGCATTCTTTAGGAGAGTGGAGTAATTTAATTCTGGCTGAGATTATTCCTATTAAGTGCTTCTAGATAGAATTTTAATGATCTTCATCAATTCAAAATTATTTAGATGTCTGATTTCTGCTAAATCATAATTGAAGCCTCTGTAGATCCTCATCTTGTTCTAGAACCTCTTGCAATGGCTTAATATTTTACCTATTTTGATGGTTTTAATATCATCTTGCTTTTTGTCATCCTTTATACTATTTGGTCAATAACAGTTCAATCATGTCTATATGCTTGGGTATGGGGTGATTCTTTGCTTATTTCTCTTCTTTAGACATGTTTATACTTTCGATTGCTAAGAATGCCTGTATTGTTTATCAATATTATGTTTTTTAATTCTTAATTCTGTATTTGATTGTGAAATTCTCCAGATTTGGACTTGCACGGCGATGATGTATATTTCACTTTGGAAAATCTGGATAGCATTCATCGCCAATCAGGAGTTGCTGCTTCAAATACAATGTTATCAAAGGTTTCCAGAACTGTTTATTAATATGATTATATCTTAATTGCAATTAATTGCGGATTCTATTGACTTTGGATGGAAAGTGCATATATTTCCTAAATTTAGAAGTGTCCGGAAAGTTTTTGTGCTACTTTTGTGGGACGATCAGGGAAAGAGGAGAATAAACTATCGTATCGGAGTTGGGAAGACTTACTTGTCCTGGTCAGTAGCCTGTTGTATGATCACTCAGTAACTTGACTGCAAGAATCACTGTCTTGCCGAATCCTTTTATCATTGGATGTCTGCACATTGTCTCGAGCCTTTCAACCTAGAGACCGCGAATGGATCTGCGGGCACACAAAATTTGTGCTCCTGTGCTCTAACTCATGTATATAATAGGGACAATCTACTCCAGTTAGGAGCTCGTGCCAAGTACATGGTCTGATATTTAAGGAACATGCTAGCTTTGATGTTGAGTATTAGCTTCGATATTATTGCTGAACTTGTGCACTTTTTTATCTCAGAAACTCCGGAAATTTATCATGCATTTAAATCCTTGGACATTATAATCTTGTACTCTATAATTTTCTCTAATTTGAGGAGCTGCTTTTGGTTCAGTCTGTATTATAGAACCTCTTTCAAAGTGGCTAGAAGGAATGGCATTTGAGTTTTGCAACTTTTGTTTTTGAAAAATTTCCTGTGCAGCTTTAAACTCAAAATGATATCATGTTTCATGTTTTGATATTTGGTGAACTCATATGGCCATGCGCTTCCCTTAATTTATGTATTCATATGATCCTAGACTTGTATGAAAGGATATTGAGTGCTTTTATTTATCATTGATTCAGAAATCATTGTATCATTGTACACTACTGATTACCTAATGATCAATGTTTTGTCTCTCTGTTACATATTATAGAGTTCTCTCTTTGAACTTCTCTCACGCCATTTAAAATGTCATGTTTGTTACTACTATATGTTTCTTTATAAAGTTCTTTTTGTATTCAACTATAACCTGCTCAATGTGCTGGTGTATCTCTTAGTTTTTGTTCTGTCACTCCTATTATAGTTTGACGTTTGTGAGCAATATTGCTCTCTGCAGGTGCATTCTAAAGCATCTATGAATGCTGCATCAAGATATAGCGAGTTGGAAGCTGATGCTACATCCCAAAGATTTAAGTCCGATGATTTCCCAGAAACATGGTATAGTCAGTTCTTTGAGAAATACAAGGTTAGTAAACCTTATAGACCGATGCTTGAGGATGGAGAACGGAACCCTGAACAGATGCGTACTTATCTTAGAATAACAGAAAACAACAAAAGAAGAAGGGCGGTTTTTAAGGATAATGTATCAAGTTTGCGACCAAATTCAGTTCCTGACGAAAGTTCTCTTGGTGAAGATATGCTGCTTTTTCCTGAGGCAATGTTTAATTTTAATTGTGTTCCTGAAAGTGCAGTCATCCGAACCAGTAAACTGGAAATCAATCAGAAAGTGCCATTCAATGGAGTTTTGGATACCTTACCTCAGATAATGACTAAGAGCCCTTCAATTAACCCAATTATGATTGAGAGACTTGGCATCAGACCTGAATATCTAAACATGGAACAAGCACGTGGAAGGTCCGGTTACCAAAGGAATAAGAAACTTCTTAGTCATGATCAAGCATCACAAATGTCGCAGAAGGTGGTTGCACGGTTGCTAACCAATGTGGGCTTTGAATCTTCCTCGGAGTTGTCTATCGAAGTTATTGCACAGCTTTTGAGTGGTCATGTCTGTAAATTAGGTCGCACTTTAAAGCTCCTCGCGGATAGCTATAGACAGCAGTGCTCTGCTACTGAGTTAGTAAAGATGTTCCTTCAAACCACAGGATCTAGGTCAGTTTTGGATACTCTATGAGATGCTCCAGGTGTTTCTGTTTTTCAATTTCTGGTTTTGAACATAAGGTCTCGTATATTGCCCTGCTATGATGCTTGATGGCTCACAATATGAATAGTCTTACAAAAGTAGTTAGATGTCGATATTCTATGGGATGCTTCAGGTGTTTCTGTTTGGCTATTGCTAGTTTTGAATGCTATAATGCTTGATGACTCATAATATGAATATTCTTTTAAAGCTAGTTAATCCATTACTGCAAGAAACTAAGACTGCTTCAGTCTGTAGGAGACTGAATTAGAATTAATAATATGTTTTGATATAATAAATGTTTCTCTACATGTTGAAATCAATCCTGTAGAATAGTTCATAATTTTGATGGTTAGGCTGTTGATATACTATACTCACTGCTGCACTTACCTACATTACTATATTGTACAATATCAAATTATGTATATACATTTCAGTTAGTGTATTGCTTGAAATTTCTATTATAGATCCCTCCAATTAGTTGTAATCATTAGTATGAATTTTATTGCTATTTAGTAGTTGCACTGTCCTGGGAGCATGCTTATTGCCGAAGTTACCTGATAAGTTGTTTCATGGTTTACTTTCAGTAACCTGGGTGCCCTGGCTGAGGTTATTAAAGATAACATTAAGAATGTTGCCCAACAAACTCAGCAGCAGCTATTGGTCCAGGCACAGTTGCAATCACAACAGCAGCCTTCCATGCAGCAGTCACAGCAGGTGCGTCCAACTTTCCATCTTATTGGAGATTCTGTCTTGTTGGGTAGTCTTTGGGCATGACACTTTGCATATTTAGTAAAACTTATGTTTTTGCTATCTCACCTCATAACTGAATACCAACATTATTATACAGTTGAGGTTAGTCCTGCAGTGCATGATATGCTCCCGGAAATGATTGATCTTGGATCAGGGGAAAGCAAAACTCTTATGACTATGTGATAGCATTCTAATAGTTTCTGGTTCCAATTTAGACTGTTGTCGGTATAATCCAAAATTACATTATAGTTTCTCACTTTAATTATTTCACAGATCTTGAGACAGATAAGCCCACAGATGCAGCAGCAGATGAACAATCCGCAATATTTTGCTTATCAACAGCAGCAATGGGAGAGGATGAAAAGGAGACAACAGCAGCAGCAGCAGCAGCAGCAGCAGCAGCAGGCAACACCTCGTCCTGCCGTGAATGTGAATATGAATATGAACATGAACATGAATATGGACAAGGACAGGCCTCTAGTGCAAGTGAAGATGGAGGCTCCATCTGATTTCCCAATGGATTCAAATGCTTTCACAACAATGAATTCCAGGCACCCCCAATTGCAACAGTTAAGGCAACAGCAACTAGCTGCAATATCAACTTTGCATGCCCAAGCCAACAACAATACATTCCGGCCAATGAATTCTCTTCAAATTCCGCAAATTCAATCACCGTAGGGCACTCTTTGCAAATAGATTTGATTGCAGATCTATACCTTGATATCTGCCTACCTGATTTCAATGTAACATTGGTTTTGTCTAGGAACGTGGGAATGGTAATGGCCAGAGCACCTCCTGTAAAAGTTGAAGGTTTTCAGGAATTAATGAGTGGGGACTCTTCCCTGAAGCATGATTCTGAGGAAAACAAGCTTATATCTCCACCCAAGTAGGCAGGTTCGTCCTTGTGCATATATTTCCAAATATAGTATACCAAGGTACACTTTTGTGCTAATAGTCTGAATCCGCTAGTGAAATTCATCTATCTTAATTTTTTGTATAGTATCTAATCTTCTGTTGCGATAATATCATAATTGGTTTTTAATCCGTTGTTAGTCTTTCATCTAGATCTTTTACAGCATGTTGAATTAGAATCTTTTCATACGCCAAACTAATCTGCTGAAATATAGAATTTTCCATGCTAATTTCTCCACTTTGATATACTCAAGACTGTTAATTTGATTTTTTCGGCATTTTCATTTATGTTGCTTGATTTTTTCGGCATTTTCATTTTGATATATATATATATTACATTTTTACGGCATTTATTTTTAGAATGATAAATTGTATTTAGAAGATACAAGAGGAAAAACTGTCTATAATTAAAATAGTAATATTCCATCCGCCCAATTTCAAAGGGGTCATTTGGTTTTTATAGGGAGTTAAGAAATAATAGTATTTTATTAGTTAGTAGAAATGTGTATGATGGTCCGACATTTTGTCTTTACAAATTAATAAAGTAATGACATTTTTGTAATTTTGTATAAAAGTAGGAGTATTTTGGTATTTTTATATAAATTGATTTTGTTATATTAAGAAATGGATACCTTTGAATGAGATAAACAAAAATGGTAAAAAAGTACCTTTAAATTGCGACCGAGGGAGTAAAAATTTGCAATAATTTTATGATGTCGCATATTAGAAATAGTAGTAGGAAATTCAGGATAGAAGAAGTACTATACTATCACATAAAATTATTCAAGCCCTATTAAGTACTAACTGATCATAAGAAAGTGTTACAATTATATAGTTTAAAAAGTATTTTATCTTGTTTCTATTCACTTTAAGCATAATTTGTGCAACTTATATATATAGGTATAGGCATAGCTTAGGATATCGATAATCGAATATTGTGTTTAGGGTTGCCTATGAAAACTAGTGTTCGCTAAAGTCTAGTAACAAGTTATAAAAGCTCTTATAGCTACTGAGAAGAGAATGTTTTCTTCAAAATTTAATGTCGTTAAATTTGATGGACATCATTTAGTACATGAATACAATTCTTATCTAGAATGATTAAATGAAAGTTTTTGAATAACAGACAACTTGTTGGCGTCGTAGAGGAAGATTAGGGTGATGTAGACAACAATACTCTTGAAGTTAATGTTGTGCTGCAAGAAGTGTCGTAGAGGAAGATTAGGGTGATGTAGACAACAATACTCTTGAAGTTAATGTTGTGCTGCAAGAAGTCTCTGTTGTCGTTGTTTTGTATATTTGCTTAGAGATGATGAATATGAAGTTAATGAACTAAGATTGAATTAGCAAACACAATATGCAGTATTCATATGGAATGAGTGATGAGATAATTGATAGCCATAGCATAATGCACATCCAGACATGTTTGGCAGATTTGGGAAGTTTAAGGCTAGTCTTTGGATTTGATTTGATCTGATTTGATTCGATTCGATTCTATTATATTCTTTGTAGCCATGATACCAAAAGGGCTTTACTTACCCAATCTTGGTTGTTATATCTACCTATCTGATTTTTTATTTTTTATTTTTCTGGGAATATATCTACCTATCTGATTTGGTTCACTGTGGAGAAGATATAGTCTTTATCTGTGCTGTCTTGACTCCAAAAAATCATATTTATATGAAAGATCGAGAATTGGCCCACAAATACAATGTCTTAAATTATTCTAAACTGCTCATGCTCTAGGTTTGTTTGTTTGTTTGTTTGGGGTTTGAGTTTAGAGCTTGGTTTTTGCTTAGTATAAATTTATAGTATTTTAATTTTAAAAATACTCCTTTTGTCCTGGACAACTATACATTTGAGTTTTTGTAGTAATTAAGAACCGTAATTTCAGCACCCTGCTGAATAGTTTAAATTTAATTATTTATAATTATACTAATTTAATAATATACATTAACATAATTAATTTATATGTGTTAAGCTTGGTGCGGAAATACTTTTCTTCAGCATTTGATTTTGCAACTAAGAAAGTAATATTCTATTTGTCCCCAACTCTTATCATTTTTATCATATTGGCGTGTCTTGTTAAAAAATACTTCCTCCGTCCAAAGCGTAAAGTTTAAGAAATAATAGTATTTTAATTATAGTGGGTGGGTAAAGTAGTGTAATGACATTTTTTGCCTTTGCTTTTTGGTATAAAAAGTAATGATATGACGTAAACTAAGGGTATTTGTGGAAAAAAAAAGTAGAGCATTTAATGTAATATCCAAAAATAAAAATATGTATACTTTATTAATTTTCAATGGTACTAAAAGTAGTCATATAGATATAAATACTGAAATATTTTTAAACTTTTATAAAATATTCACTGTTTTGTATTTTTAAGGATAAAAAATATCAAAATATTATACACATGTTTATATCTACTGATCAATAAAATATTATTATTTATTCTATTATAAAAAAAGAAATGTATACTTCTCATTGAGAAAAAAGTAATTTTGATATCTGTCCTTGTATTTTGGTATTAGTATAATACTTTTGAGTGTGGCATAAATAAAAGTAGTATTTTCAGTTGGGATAGATAAATTAGTATTTTGTTATATTTTGTAAGAAAAAAAATAGTATTTTTAATGCAATAGTGTTTGTGAAAAAAAAAAAATTATTGCTATTAAAAAAATATGGTATGAACTGAACAGTAGTACTTCCTCCATCTCATATTTTATTTCATGTTATTTTTTTTTGAAAAATAATTACACACTTTAATTTTATTTTAAATTTTTTTATTTTTATTTTAATTTATAATTATTTATACTATAGAATAATTATTTTCAACAATATATTTTTAATTATTTACCAATCATACCTTTCCTAAAATACCTTGTCTACTGTTTAGTAGATACGACACCCCGTAGGTATAGGGACGGATGGAGTATTAATTTAAATTTGAAATACACTCAAACAGCTACACAATAATTAAAGTTATAATTAAATATTTTTATTATTCAACGGTAAACTTAAATCTCTGACAGTATTTTTCCAAGTTGGAACAAAGTACAACGTTAATTGGTAGTATGTCGTAATTTGCAGGGTAGTGTTGACCAGATCGGTTGATTTATTGATGTTGGATTTAATTACACTACTAATAATCGAATTATTAGTCGCTCGGCTCGGCTCGGCTCAGCTCGGCTCGATACTTTCATTCTAACAAATCTGCATGCAGATGGATAGATCTTCCATATTTTTTGAGATCCACAAGAGCATCATTTAACATTTTTATATGTTTATTTTATTTTTATTTCTTGCAACTAGATTCCCACGTTGTTGACGGAATCTGATTTGTTTGTTTTTTATTTTTAATTTGAAGTACTGTTTATATTGAGTATGAAGCAACATTCCTAAAATATAAATATGACATTTAAATAATAACCTGAGTTTAAATTTAGGCTAACTTCGTGATTTCATGAAATTGTACCAAATTTTTCGTACTTTTAAAACTACGTTAAACTCCCTCGTGGTTTCAAAAATTTTGCGTCTAACCCTCCGGTCCTTATTTAACGGTATTTGACCTAAATGCGCTCAATCTGCGAATAAATTTTATAATATTAATTTCTAAACCCCTAAAATTACAAATATATTTATTTTTTTATATTTATCTTAAAAAAATAGTAAATATACTCAAAAATAGTTATTTTTTTTAGGTTTTAAGAGTTTATTTTTATTATTTTTTTAGGCTAAATATATAAAAAAAATAAATATTTTTGTAATTTTAGAGGTCTAGAAATTGAGATTCTAAAATTTATTTGCAGTTTGAGCGCATTTAGGTCAAATACCGTTTAATAAGGACCGCTGAGGGGGTTAAACACAAAGTTTATGAAACCACATGGAAGTTTGATGAGTTTTAGAAGTACGGGGGATTTGGTGCAATTTTTATGAAACTACGGGTGGATTTTGTGCAATTTAGCCTTAAAGTTATGTACATAAATATTAGTTTCCTCTTATTGTTTCATTTGACTATTTATGTCTATTCCAAATTAATTGTACCATATTTATCATCATAACACTACTTACTTATATTTTTATATTAAATCAAAAAAATATTGTTATAAAGGCAATTTATTATTATTATTTTTTAAAAATATATATTGTCTTCATTATTAATAAAATATCAATATTTTTAAAATTTTGCACCACAAAAAAATATGTTTCAATTGATATGCACTACAAGAAATTATCAATTTTGTAACGAGGTTTTTTCGTTCCTAAATTCATTTTTTCCGTTACTAAATAATATTAGAGACGGAATTAGAGATGAATTACATTAGCTACGTGAACTTTAGGAACGGAATTTCGTTACAAATATACTATTTTTTTTGGTAGTAATAGGACTTAAAAAGTACTACGTACAAACATAATAAAAATATACTATTTTTGTTAGTTTACAAAGTTGACATTTGTTTTTTTTATTGTTGATATTCTAATATTAATTATTATATCAAAATATAGTGAAAATCAAGAGAAAAAAAATAAAAATAAGCTATTAGTATCTTATAATATAATGTCATTTGAATAAAAAATTATATAAATATAAATATATATTTTTATAATATTTTAATGTTAAAATAAGGTATGTAAAAAGTAAGTGAAAATATTATAAAAAATTTATTAAAGAATTGATAAAATAAAAAATAACAAGATAAATACAAAAAAACAGTAACAAATTAATTATTATTATTAAAATAAGAACAAAAGAATTATAGACAAATAAAACTGTTTAGTATAAATAAATTGTGTATAAAATAAACGGAGTAAATGCAATAAAAGACTATAATGCAGCAATTCATTATTGTTTGTCATTTACAGCTCTACGAACAAATTAAGTTTACGAATAAATATATTTATATATCAAATCCAAACCTCATATGTAAGAACATTTCTTGTATGTTGCAATAATGAATTCATTGAAGTTTGAGAGCTTCGATTGGCCTTCCAATGAGAGACAAAACAGTCCCACAAATATGCTTCGAAGACAAACCTGCTTCTTCCATTTGATCCTGTGGAGCTCCATGATCTATATATCTGTCTGGAAGAACCATCGATCTCACCTGTACATATATATATTATTTTGTAAGAGAAAAAAATCTAATTTCTGTTATCCAAATTTATTCTTGTTTATTTTTTAGTAAAAAAAAGTTTTTTATTTTAAAAAATAAAAGTTTTTATTTTCGTCTATTTTTCTTAAAATTCGTATTCAGTCAAATAAGGTGATAGGTAGCCGCAAAGGCTTTGTGTTTGTTTGTACCTTGAGGGGTCCGTCGAGGATTCCATTGAGGCTTAGAAAGTGTGTGACGTGCGATCCAAAGCCTCCGATCGAGCCCTCCTCCACGGTGATCAGAATCTCGTGCTCCTTGGCAAGCGATCGGATTAGATTGGTGTCCAATGGCTTGCAAAATCTTGCATCGGCTAGTGTTGCGTAGACATCGTAGGATTTGAGCATTTCTATTGCTCCTAGACATTGCTGTATTATTGTGCCGTATCCGAGGATCGCAACTCTGTAGCCCTCCACGAGTATTCTTCCCTTGCCGATCTAGTAAATGTGTGCCCAAATTAGTATCCGTGACTATTCATAAAGGAAGCTTTGGCCTTGTTATCGAATAGCTAAGAGTCATATTTTGATTTTAGTTTCGTACTATATATTCTTTTTTTTTCCGGCGAAACTTTCAAATTAAATATTTAATGGTATTTCATATGTTACAAAATAAATATTTTTATTACATCAAATTCGAAACGAACCCTTATTAACATATATTAAACCTTAGATTTATACTATTTGGATTCTTGCATTTTTCGAAAAAAATATATTTTTTTTCTCACAAACTCAAACAAAAAAATTTCAAACCCGTCAAAAGAAACACACGAATGTTGATTTTATTAGAAATAATAAACAAGAGAAAACTTAGGCTATGTTTAGATACAAACGTCAAAATTTTTGTTACTATCTATCAAAAGTAATATTTTCAAAATACATATTTTTTTAAGAAAAATATTTTTTAATATTTTCACTTTTTTGAAGAAAAAAATTACAAAACTTTGTCTAAATAGAGCCTTGGTTTGAGCATTGCCGGAATACACTTAAAAACAAACACTTTGGTGATAATAAAACATAGAAGTCTCTTGCAAATATATTTGGTTTTATTTTTCGACTTTTGAATCTAAAATCGAAATAGTAGTTGGATATAATATTTTTTAAAAATAAACGATAAATTGAATAATGTGAAAATATATTTAAAAGCACGAGTAAACAACGTCCGTGCCGTCGTATTTGCACGAATACGGTCTTGCATTGTACTTACCTCAAGCGGCGTTCCTTTGTTGTCCCTGGGAAGAATGGCTCCAACGCCGTTGCCCCTCGGAAACCTGAAGCAACAAGGGCGATCGTCTATGAGAGCCGCCGTAGCCACCATATGCATTAGCTCAGCCTCGTCCGACGGTGCCATAACCACCATGTTAGGCAAGCAGGCCATATATGTCACATCGAATGATCCGCAGTGAGTTGGCCCGTCTGCGCCGACTAAACCAGCTCGGTCCATGGCGAACCGGACCGGCAACTTTTGAAGATCCACATCATGGACCACCTGCAAGTCCACGCGCATTTCACGACCATCCGAGATTGATCAAGAATTTCACTCAGTATTGATTGACTATATAATAATTAATGATGCGTATCTCTTTAACCTTAAACTTTTAAGTGAGATAGTCATTTATGACAACATCCTCTGACCTAAATTTACCTTACATGTAAGGGACGTGCTGGTTAACTATATAATGATAATAATAATCGTCCATCTAATAAGAAGTATATCATTTTCTATTTCTGTCAGTCTCAAAACAATGGTATAATTTTCTAATTTAATAATTATATTGTTTATTTAACTTAATAAATATCTTTAAAATTTACAATATATTACCCAAATATCATTAGGGGCATTTTTGTCTTTGTATTAGAAACTAATATAATAGTAATATTAAAAAAACCTACGTATAGAAAATAAATGTTGCTCTTGTTACGGAACGAAAGTAGCATTAATATTAATCTATTTAAGTTTAAATTTTAGACGAAATAGTCATTTAACATATGTTACGGTTTCTAACCTGATCGTAACCTCGTTGTAGGAAGGACGAATAAATGGCGCAAAACGGCTTGAGGCCCTCGGTGGCTAAGCCAGCCGCGAACGTGACGGCGTGCTGCTCGGCGATGCCAACATCGAAGCAACGGCCGGGGAATCGTTTTTGGAAATAGTTGAGACCCGTCCCGCCGCCCATAGCTGCGTGGATAGCCACAATCCGGCTATCGGCCTCGGCCTCTCTTATCAGTGACTCGGCAAAGTACTGTGTATACGAAAGCGTCGAGGACTTAGCCTTAATCTGCTTCCCGGTTGCAGGGTCGAACTTGACGACGCCTGAAAGAGTTTTCGGACAAAATAAGTAGATCGTCGTATGTAAACGGATGAAAGATATCAGCGATTGAACGATTTTCTAACCGTGCATCCGATCGGCTGCTGCCTCGGCCGGAGGATAGCCTTTGCCCTTTTCGGTAATGATATGGATTAGGACTGGCCCGAGCGCCGGCATCGCCTTAACTTTCTCAAATATTGTGACCAAATCCTCGACATTGTGTCCGTCCACGGGACCGATGTAATACAATCCGAGCTCTTCGAACAGCGTAGACACCGACGTCGTGAGCATCCCTTTCGTGTATTCGTCTACCTTGGCGACGACTTCGTGGGCTTGGCTCCCGATTTGCTTCGAAATGCTCTGTTTCGATTAATTTTTCAGACATCGGATTAATTTAGCCGGTAAAGACGATCTGGTAGTGTAAGAAGAAAATGATTGATCGAGTAGTTACTTTTGCAGCTTCCCGGAGCTGTCGAAATTTAGGGCTAGCTTGGAGCTTGCTCAGCGCCGTGCTGAGGGCACCGACTGGCCGGGCCGGGCCGTCGAGCGTTGCTGTGGGCAACGAAACCTGTTTGTTGTCGTTCAACACAATGATTAGGTTCGAGTCGAGGAATCCGGCGTTGTTCATGGCCTCGTAGGCTTGTCCGGCCGTCATTGAGCCATCGCCGATTACGGACACGACGCTGTTGTCCTTTCCTAGTAGATCTCTTGCCACAGCCATTCCTACAAAACAATCGATTAGTTAACACAAATCCAATCGATAATTGAACATATATAATAAAGACGTGCAACATATACTCTTTTATATATATATATATATATCTATATTATGTTATAACAACACATATACTATGTTGTATGTAATATATATTTATATTTTTATTACATATGCTGATTTGATCCAATCAATAAGCATTCTTCGCCAAATTAAATGAATGTAAACTAATTAATTCTTCTTCAAATGCATTTAGTGTTAGAATTTTAAGGATCGAACATTACCGAGGCCTGCAGAGATGCTGGTGGAGCTATGGCCGGCGCCGAAAGCGTCGTAGTTGCTCTCGTCCCTCTTGGGGAATCCGGCGAGCCCCGATGTTTTCCGGATGGTGTACATTCTTGACCTCCGACCGGTGAGAATCTTATGCCCATAGGCCTGGAAAGTAATAATTCATGTAGTTCTTTCATTACAGTACAGTAATTAACTAATTAAGAATCAATCTTATTTAATTAATCGAATTCAATTATTAATTACCTGATGGCCGACGTCCCATATGATCTTGTCGTCGGGGGTGTTGAAGACATGGTGCAGCGCCACCGTCAGCTCCACCACCCCTAAGCTCGAACTCAGATGCCCTCCTGTCTTCGCCACCGTGTGCACGATCTCCGCCCTCAGCTCCGCCGCCAGCTGCTCCAGATCCTACCATTTTTTTTTAAAAAAAAAAAATTAATTAATTAACTAATCATCGAACAGATAATTAATTAATCATCGGACAGACCTTCGTGGAGAGGTTCTTCATATGGACAGGAAAGTTAATCGTGTCCAGCAATGGCGTCGAAGGTTTCTCCAGCCAGAAATCGCTTTTCCGACCATCTCTTTTCTCACTCTTCACAATCTCACCGTACTCTTCACTCAGCCCTTCGCCGGCGCCGGAAGATGCTTTGATGCAACACTGCAACAAATTTTCCGGCCAAAATCAAACATTACAGGATATATATATATATATATATATATATAACAAACGACAAACCCTCCCTCGAATATAATTAATTGAATAATAGATACAATGTATAATGCAAGAACGAACCTGTCTTCTTCCTCTGCAGGTGAGCTTTGGGGGTGGAAGACATGCCGGTGAAGGTTTGTATGGTCTGATGAAAGCTCCAGGAACAGCCATTTCTGAGAACAGGAAGCTGAATTGCTTTCTTTGCTGCAATGAAATGAGATAATATATATATATATATATATATATATAATTGGGGAATCAATTGGGACGATTTATAACGGGCAACGTAACTGTGAAGAAATCATTTCAGACAATGATAATAAAATGGATGAATCATGTGGTAATTAGGCTATAGGTTTGTTAGTTTGGATCGGGTGTGTAACAGTGGTTTTTTTTTTTTTTTGTTTTTAACAGTTGTTTGAGTTTGTGTATCGGTGATTTTATTTTATTTTTTTTTCATAATTAATCTATTTATTTTGCTATTTTAATACTTTATTTATCACTTAATAAATTTATATTTAATTTTTACATCATTATACTTAATATTAAAAATATTTTTATATTTGTATAATTTTTTTATAAATATTATTTTTATTTTATTAGTAATATAAGGTACTAATACAAGTATATTTATCATTTTTTTTATTTTTTACTATTTTTTGATACAATAATTAATACGAAAAAAAAATAAATATAAACTTTAAAAAAGTGGACGGAAAAATATGATAGAAATCAATCTATCAATTTTTTAAATAATTGTTGTACTTTTATATATTAAAAAAAAAAAAAAAACCATTGAATATTAGTTATTATTAGACCAATATAATCAACATAATTTAATTGTTACAAAACATCCGTGGGAGTAGAATTATATACTTATTCTTCTATTTTACTCCTTTTCGGTTACCGTATCCGAAATACTATAGATACGATAATTTAAAAAATTATAATTAGTTACTAATTAAGAATAATATACTAGTAGAAATATTTATCCTATAATATTTATAATTATAAATTAATAACAAGATAATTAATTAGACTATTAAAATTAAAAAATTATAAATTAGAAAATTTAAAATGAGATTAAAGTGTGTAATATTTTTCAAAAAGTAAAAATCATATAAAATGTAAGATGGATAAAAATGACAATATGAACACGATAGGCAGGTAAGAGGGAACTCTATAATCCTTCTGTCCAGGTCATAATATTCAGTTTGAGTTTTTTTTTTTCTTTTTCTCATAGTAGATTAAAAAATAATAGTTTGTAAAATGATTTTGATATTTTTTTACGTTTTCTATTTTATATATTATAAATTAATTGTATATGTAATAATATTTTTGTAATTGATGTAAAAGCTAACGTTATTTGCTATTGGCAACTATGTTAAAAAATAGATAATTTTGAATTGACAAATGAAAATAATAAAAATATATTTTTTTAATTGAGACGAAGAGAGTATATCATATTCATATCGAACCAAGAGAATATAGTAATATTTTACAAAATAAAAATAATATTTTATCCGTCTCAACTCAAAGTACATTTTTTATCAATTTCATCAGTCTTACTAAAAAATATAAAAGTAATCACACATTGATACCAAAATATCATCTATCTTTTATGTAAATTATAAACATACCATTATACATCCAATTAACTAATAAAAAATTACTATTCTTTTTATTTTATCTATTATCAAATCCTAAATAACCCATTTGAATTGTTATGAAAAAATATATTTTTATTAAAAATCGTGTTTTAATTTTTTTTTATTGGAACAACAAAAGCTCAACTAAACACGACTTCTCTTTGTTATTTCAAAGTTTTTTTTCGATTTTTTGTTATTTAATTGTCATAAATTTTCTATAAATATATATAAAAAAATTCTCATACAAAAATTAAAACAAGAGAAGCAAACCTTTTTAAGTTGTTTTATAAAGAATTTTAGTTAATGATCGTGTGATTTCCTTTTGTGGGTGTCTTTGGAAGTGTTTGGAATATTTTAAACAGCATTTTTATTTGAAATTTTTTTCTCCAAAAGAAATATTTTGATGCTATGTTTTCAGTCTTAGAGAAATTTGTATGTATGGAAATTTTTTATTAGATATGTATGATGATATTGGTCTAAATTTAACTTACAAAGATGTGTATGAACTTAATATTTACTACATATGTATTATAGGGTTCTTTATTTTGAGGGTTTTTTTTTTCTTTTTCCTTGTATTATTTAGTAATTTTTTACTACCTATATGTCACATTCGATTTTCTTTTATGTTTTTAGTTGTTTTAATAAATTAGTTATACTTCTAATTATGCCACATTTTATTGTTTGATGGTCCCCTAAACTTATATCTCCCTCCGTCCCATAAATATAGTCTTCATTGGGTTGAACACGGAATTTAAAGAATATTGATATTATATTGGAAGTGGATAAAAAATATAAATAAAAGACTTTTTTGCCCTTGTGAGTATATTAGTATAAAAAGTAGTGACAATTGTGTAATAAAAATAAAAAAGTAAAGGTAATTTTATGGTGATATGATTGTTTATGGAAATAAGACTATTGTTTTGGGACGGACAAAAATGGTAAACAAGACTTGTATTTGGACGGAGGGAGTATAATATATTTATAGTAAAAAATTATTTTCACTCACAATTTTATTGTGCATACTTTAAGGAATAATAATAAATTTATTAATATTTTTCTATTTAATTCATTAGTTTATTATTATCTATTTGATAAATTTCATATTATAAACTCACTTTATTTTTTACATATTCAATTTTTATCTTAAAATACTATTCCCTCCGTCCACAAACTAACGTCCTATTTTCTTATTTGGAATGTCCAACAATTATTGTATTCTTTCTATTTTTATACATAAAATTTACTATTTTACCTTTACTTTATTTACTTTCATTTTCTATACACAAGATTAAGGGCAAATTTGTCATTTTATAACAAAAATCCTAATTACCTAAAAATACGTGTAAATATCAAATAGGACATTAGAAAATGGACGGAGGGAGTATTATTTTTTAATTTCCTTGTCCGAGCATTATGGTATAATTATCTCAAATGGAAAGAGTAATTTCTTACAATAAGGAGTAATAAATAGTAATTAAAATTAAAATTTTAACTATATTTTATTAAATTACTAAGATTTGTGTAGTTGTAGATTTGAGAGTTAAAATTAAAGTATAAAGTAATAAAATTTTAAATTAGAATAATTATTTAATATGATATAATTAAGTATTGATACAAATATTATAAACATTAAATTGATTTTTAATGTAATATCAAAAATAAAAGATAAGTGTTTAATTTGATATTTTAGCTTAAAAGAATTAATGAATAGTGAGATTTGTATCATTTTTTATCTCCAAAAAATAAAAAACTAAACTAATATATCTCATATTTATCACTATCAACAATCAAATTTATGTCGTCGTCTTTCTTGTTTTTCTTTTGAGTTTGAAAGGAAATTAATAAAAATACTTTTATGAGGAAATATTTTGAGGAATTGTTTTTTTTTTTTTTAATGTAAAATATTGTTTAGATTTAAAATTTGTAGGTACGATTTGTTTTTATTGTATTAATTGTGTTTAAATTATTAAAGTTAGTTTAATTTTTTTTTTTTGTTATCTAATTGTTTCGTATTTGTTTACAATTGATACAATATTCTTTTAACTTAATTTTAATTCATAAAAAATATTCAAATTAAAAAATAAAAAAATATTATTTTAACTTTTATCTCAATATTTTATCCAATAAAAATAATTAAAATAATATTTTATTACAAAAATTATATAAAATATATGATAGAGTGCTGAATTTTTTAATTCACTTAAAATAAACAAATATTATTTTAACTTTTATCTCAATATTTTATTCAATAAAAATAAACAAATAATTTTCATTTCTCTCTCATATGCATGAAGAGAAATATCGTTCCAGTATATATGTTTTTTTTTTAATTTTTAAAAATTTTTGTGTACTATTTAATTTTTATAATTTTTTTAAAATTCTATTATTCAATTTTAAAAATACAAATTTTATTTATTTTTAAAGTATTTAATTTTTACGAAACTTTTAAGAAATTGTACTAAAATATAATCTTAAAAAACATCGTATATAATTTATAATTTTTTTTAAAAAAAAAGTTTACCAAAAATATTTTTCATGAATTTTTATTCGTTATAACTCTCTTTTTATCCGGTTAATTATTTATTTTTGTTTAATCATTCATGTATCTGCATTTTTGTTTTTATATATATTTCTCAACTGAATTGTTTATTTTACCAAACAAGATAATTGATTCTAATTTTCTACTCAATTCCATTTGTCTCCAATTCTATTTTCTATTCTCATTTTTTGCAATTCTATTATCTATACCAAACGCCCCTTATTGTAGATAATATTTCATATGAAAAATGAAAGTTATACAAATACATTTTCTAAAAACATATTGAGATAATAAACTTTGTTAAAAAAAAAAAAAGGAAAAAAACAGTAAACAGTCTATTGGAATAAATTGATATGCTTTTGGTAGATGAATATATATGTTTGTGTGTGTATAGCATTTGCCTTATAACTATAGAAGTATCAAACAATATGCTGCGGTTACGATCTTTAATGATATTATTGTGAAATATAATATATACACGAAATAATAAAAATCTAAATAAAAACACACAAAATATAATTTTCAATAAATATTTTTTACAACTCTCCCTATCTCACAGACACTTTAAAATATAAATATTAAACGAACACACACAAAATATAAATCAATATTATACAGTTTATATTAATATAATATAAATATAACATATAAATGGATAACACATCACAATCATTCATATAGATATATATATACTCGAAAAATATTTTTATTTCCTTTCCAAGTAAAAAATTATTATATTTTTGTATTTTTTTTACTATATATATAAAAAAACTATTATTACTCATTTTTATTAAAATTCGTGTCCGATCAAATGAGCACACATTTGCATAACGGAGGGAGTGTAACACTGCTATTCTGATAGACCTTAATGCTAATTAAAGAAACCCTGCGGCTAATTTAATTACATATATAATTCTCCTGTGATCTGTAAGATTGATCAAATAATAAAAAATGTGTATGAATTAATTAATTATATAATTATATGAATAAGAGAGAAACATGAGGAAATAAGAAAAGCACAGTGTCAGTTTTT